GTATGAAGATTCATGAATGTCTGTGTCTGTGTTATCCCTTTGGTTTTCAAATGTAAAGAAGGAAAGATGAAGTGTGAGAGAAATGTGTGAAGATTCATGACTGTCTGTGTTATCTTTGGGTTTCAAATGTAAAGAAGTGAATATGATGGAAACTAAGAGCCCTTTTTCATAAGGTTTCAGTAGTTGTACATCAGGTGAGAAATTGGGACAGAAGACACTTGGTCAGTGAAAGGGAGGAGGAACAGGAGGAGGAGGCACCTGAGTCCTCCTGTAATCTCTATCCATGGGGGGTGGGGAGGGGCAAAAAAGTCAAGATGGTGTGCGATAAAAGCCCTGTTTCTTCTGCATGTAGGTCTGGGTGGGAGGCTGATTTGGGATCAGGAGAGCCGGTCACACCTCTGAGCTGGGCCAGGATTACATGCCCTTCAAGGGCTCCCTGGACCAGCCCCTGCAGCTTTCCTGGCCACCTTTTTCAGGGTTGTCCTTTCCTTCTTTCTGGGGCTGAGAAGGAGGGACTGACCCAGAGTACCATGCTGCTTCCGTGCCTAAGGCAGGACTAACTCAGGTCTCCCTGCTCCTAGACAAGTGCCTTTAATCACCATCCCAGACTGACTCATATATTCCATTAGACTGATTTTAGGTCTTCTTTCTCATGCTATATTAAGCCAGTGTCAAGGCGTTTGCTACAGCTCTGGCCTAGTTAACATTTCAAAATGGGGATGGGGGAGTTGACATTAGCGAATTCCCTCACAGCAGCCCCCAGGCGACCCCCACTGATCTCCACAAGCAAAGCGTGTAGAACTTGACTGGCAATCGGATGGGAAACCACCAGGAAATCCCAGGGCGGTAGGCTACCCACGGGCCCCAAGAAACATCTGGGACGAAGAACCTTCGGCGTTGCCTAGAAAAAGCATTCCAGCGTTGTCCGGAAAGCTCTCAAAACCTGCTTTTTTCAGCAAGCCTGCGGATCCCCCAGTAATAGGGAGCCCGCACGCTGGTGACATTGTATGGAACATCTTCCCTCAAGACCAAGCGTTTTACCTCCGCTTGCTGTTTTGATGGGTTTGCAAAAGGTTTTAATTCCTGGTT